GGCTACAAAGTGAGTTCTAGGCCAGCCTGACTGCGTAGGGAAAGCTTGTCTCAAAAAGACAACAAAAAAAAAACAAAAAAAACCCTGTAATAATGAATTATGCTTTCATATTCATTATGTCTTAATTGAGCATTTAATAAATGATGGGATTATTAGCTATAATCACTGTATTTCTTTTGAAATGATTGCTTAAACAGGTAAAGCAGAGCCCATACTTTAAAAACTGTAAAACAATCAATAACTTAGGCATGATCCAGAAATTCAAGAGAAACTTGTTGGCAAAGACTAAGTAATTGCATTAAAAGGCCATGATTGACATTACATCTGGATTTACTGCTTGAACAAGTTGGATTAGACAAACACCCTTCACTAGTGAAAGCAACAACTTCTTCACATGGGAGATCTGGTTTCATCAGTCTATGTGAAGCACGTTCCTTATCACAGGAATAAAGAAAAACACCTAAAAGTTTTCCTGAGTTTTGGGACCTGATAACTAACAGTATAACTCCAATCACTGAGGCCAAAGGAGGACTGATAGAAGTACTGCCACAGTTTCTACCGACATCACCTGTGTGGAAAAAAAACATAAAGAATGAACACCTGTGAAGTAGAGCGACAACCAGGACCAGAAACGAAAGAAGAGAAGGCTTCAGAATGGAAGGAGTGGTCACCCACATCAAAACCTGCTAGAAGGATAAATAAGAGGAAGACTGAAAAGTGTCTCCTAGGCTTAGTGACACAATGTCACAGGCAAAGTGTCACAGCTGTGACACAAATGTCACACTCCTTGAACTTTCCCTCTGACCCGATTATTGCAGTCTCACAGCAGATTCAAGTGGCTGAGAACAGAATGGTTCAAGCAAAGGAAGGAAAAATTGCAAAATGTATAATTAAACCAAAGAAAAAAGTTTCAGGTAGAAAAATTACTCAGAAACTTTTATTATTAGTATCTCAAACTTTTCAAAAGAAAACTGAAACAACTGTTAACTAACAGCAACAATAAAGTACCTGAGTAATAATTCATGGTAAGAAGTTAAGTTCCTAATTTTCCAACTGTTTTCGTATTAACCCATCTTACTATTTTTGAGATCTTATATTTAGGGCTAAATTACATTTCTGCATGTTATTTCCCTAGAACTCAAAACCAAAAGGAATCCTTCATACTGAGGTTCTCATGTCACAAATGATCCTCAGACAATAATAGTTTAGTGACTATTTTGGGTACAAACGCCAATTAATGATAAAGCTAAGAAATAAAGCATCTCATTCATCTTAGGCAGAGATGCCGATCATTTCTTCCACCCAAGCCCTTTCTTAGCAAAGCTGTAAAGCACTATACAGACTTTTCCCCTAAGTATATCAAATTGGATTTCAGTGGACATCTGACCCCAGTTCAGCCAAATTCTCTAAGTTGTGAGTCAGGTTTTAGATGGTGAGGAGTTTGTATAGTCACACAAATTCAAAGGCCAGTGTAACTTTTTTGTTTTTGGTACCAGGAATTGAAGTTAGGACCTTGCACTTGCCAGGCAGGTGCTGTGTGGCTAAGCTAAATCCCCGGCCCCTAGAGCAGCATTTTTTAGCTGCCAAAAAGAGTGGATTCACAGAGCTGAGGAGAAAAAGAGACAGCAGTCTCATGAGACATACAAAAAATAAGAGATCTTTAAATGTTTTTTCTTTCCCTTTCATTTTGCAAGTGAGTAGTTATTAAAATGACAAAGATATAGAGAAAATATTATTCACTCTGCAAAAAGAAAAGCAAAAGAAAAGAAAACACTAAACAGTAAACACTCAGCGAGCACAATGAGCTTATATAAAACGAATCAGTGGGTCTTGGCTCCCACACGCTTCCTGCACTACTTATTACTGTGCCGAATGGGGGTCTAAAAGTTTAATGATGTAATATATATTTTTCATTCACCATGGCCCCAAATGTAAACGAACTGTTCATGTGTTGGTTAGCCAAAACCACTTTAATGTCTTTTATGGGAAATATCTTTAAAAATAATTTTAACTGATGTGAATTTTTGTAGTCAGAACCTAATTCCCACTACCGATGCAGCTTCTCTGCAAACATCTGGTAACTCTCTTCGTTCACTGGCCACAGCGAAGTTCCTGCAATTACTTTCTCAGGTGCCCTCTAGGAACTTGCTAAGCTCCCACCCTTTTGAGCAGACTTCTGTTCCTGACAGTTACCTTTTACTGTACTTAAGTAATCCTCCTAATCTGTGGAAGGCCTTTTATGACTAAGAGAACAGAGTGGTGAAAGGTAGTAAAGCACTGCAGTTAAGAGACAGAATCAGACAGAGCTCTGCTGGAATCTTGGCCTCCTCCACTTAGTAGGTCCATGGCTCTGGAGAAGTCATTTTAACCTCTGTGACTCCCATCTACCCTATCTCTACCTTCCTCACAATGCTGCTATGAAGATTAACTAAGACAGCATACATTAAGCACTTACTACCGTGCCTGATACACACTGTTACAATTACAAAAGTAACCGCTACTGGTACTAGATTGAGTTCCATCTGTCTTATGGTTTTTCCCTACTGCCTCAATCAACTGATCTTATTTCTTCATGAAAATTCTATAAAATACCTGCAGTTGAACAAAAATTTTAAAACTAGGACAGGCATTAAATCATGATCTACTTTTCCCTATTCTAGACTCACAAAATTAATTTAGTATTCCAGATCAGCTTTGGAGCAAAACAACAATATTCCCAATATTACTCTATTAATTAACCTGAAAAATACTGTACCCTGCATCCCAGGGATGAGATTTCTATGTATCATCAGGTAAAACCTTGTGTCCCAATATTAATGTCTAATACTACCTCCACGAATTATATATAAAATATTCTATATAGGTTTCTACAAGGGGTGACTGAAATATGCAGTGAATGTTTAAATTTTTAAAAATTTATTACAGTGAAAGACAGTGCTATTTATTACTTCCCCTCAAAACACTGCCGCTCACTTTGAACACACTTATCCTGTCATTCCTGCCACTTTCTGAAGCAGATCTGGAAGTCTTCTTTCGTGTCTTTTACAAGGTGTGATAAAACACACAGTGAATGTTGCTGCCAAGTGTCACCCAATGGAAAGGCAGGCTCATAAAAATGTCAGTGCCATCTCATTTACCTTATTCACCAGATATGGCACTGTGCAACTTCTGGCTCTCCCCTGAGTCAAAATGACCATGAAAGGTAAATGTTTTGAATCAAAATCAGGACACCGAGGAACCACAACAGACAACTAAAGACATGAAAGAGGACTTGTACAACTGTTTCAGGAAGCTCCAGTAATGATAGGGTAAGTGTGCTCAACAGTAAAAATGTATTTTGAGAGGGACCAACGGCAATGTGCTTTTTACTATAATACATTAAAAAACTCACACCACTTTAATATAAAGAGTATTTGTCAATCACAGCTCACACATTCAGCACTGGAGCCCTTTAATCCTTTAGCAAACTTATGAGTCATTAAGAGAAATACACTTAATGAATACATATTAAAATACTAAAATTTCATTTTAAACCAAACTTTCAAAGGCTTTTCTTATCTTGCTTTTTGTTGAAACTATTAGATTAACAAGTTTTTCATGTGAGCTGTCTATGGAAAGAGTAAGAAAAGAGAAACTAGTACTTTAAAACTTTCACATCTACCTTTTGGTAAAGGCATATAAAGCTAACAGCTACTACCTCGACCAGTGGTAAAACGTATTTTATATTTGTACAACAATTAACAGCTTTTAGTATTCTTAAGTATGTTCCATTTAATTCTTACAACCATATGAGCCAAACACGGCAACTTTTATTCTGACTTTGCAGAAATGAAATGTAAGGCCTTTAGAGTAACCACATATACACACACTAAATTTTCTGACTCGACATCAAACCCTTTCCACTTCCGCATTACTTCTTATCTGCATCATTAACAATGCCGTATAACTGGGATTTGAATAATGATTATAGTTAAATGAAAAGAACATTAAACTTGGAGTGGATAAAACAGGAAAAATACATTTTATATTTAAAAGGGGGTTTTGGTTCACAAATACTTAATATTTTGAGAATTTAATCAAAGAGAATGCCTGAGAGGTTATAAGGAAATGAAGACCCAGGCGCTTTATTTGCAAATTATCTGTGGATGCGCGCATGGCACTTTTTTCTTGTCTTAAACTTCTGTTTGAATCACAGTGGCAATTGTAACTTTTTTTAGAAAGGAAGAATCCTGCTTGCAGTTATGTCCTCGGGAAATGGTTTCACAATCCTTACCATATTTTATAAATAAATAGGGCTACAAAAAAACAAAAGATTCCCTTTAGATATAAATAACAATTTTCTGAAACAGCAATTCAAAACCTTTCAGAGACAAATAGAAACTGCAGCTACACAGCTAAACATATGTGTCTTTACTCGCACATATGATCTCTAAAAAGTCTCTCATTTTGACAGGAGGCAAGAAGAGACTAAAGGGAGTAACGAGACCCTCACAAACACAGAGACGCGAGCAACGGGAAAGGCGGGTACGGGACGCAGGGCCGCGTGGAGGGCTCAGCCCCGGTGCGGTGAGTAACAGCTCCGTGTCTATCAGGGAGTGGACGAAGTGCACTTAGGAGAAGGATAGGAGCACACACGCAAGGTCAGAGTTAACAACACATAATCTCTGCTTTAAAACTTTTCCTCCCTCTGAAGAAAGAATAAACAAAAACAAAAAACTACTATTTTGCTACTGTGACTTGAACAGCAGAACCAAGGCAGGGGAGAAAATGTCCCCCCAATCTCCCTAAACTCACATGTGTATTACTCTTTAATTTATACGGCAAAGCCATTTCTTTTCAGTTCTGTTACCTAAAGGCATATAATATGTAATGCTAAAATTTCAAATACAGAACAAGAATTTAAAATAAGGTTCAACTACATGAACTAGAATAATCTGTTTGTTCTTCATTCATTTTCTGTGTGTGACAATCTCCCAAATTACTTAAGTCTTAATAGTTACCTGAACCTCTGAATTGGAGTCAATAGGCTGTAGTGAAAACCAAGTTTCTTTGCCACTATGGTTACACAAGTCTTCTTTTTTGATGGCTACTTTTCCTAAAGAATATAAGTAAAACAATGTAAGAAAACATTTTGCATAATCCTAAGGTTCATTAGCACTGTTATACTGATACAAAGATCCATTTTATAAAGTTTTTTCCTGTAGTCTAAAGAATGAAAAGTATCTCATTTCACCTTGCTCCTTGAATCCTTTTAAACCTGGCGATTACACAAAAACTCAGTTGTACTTATTTACATGCAACTTCGGTTTTTAGTACTTAGTCATGTTTTTACCCTCAATACATTCAGTTTAAAAAGCAATGTATAACAGTAGCAAACTAGTCTTTTCAGTTCTTTAAAACTGTGAATGAACCATAAGTTCTGGTTAATTTTGAGCAAATATATCTCCATGTAGTAAGAGGTTATAAATTCCAATTAAGTGAAAAGAAGAAATATATTATACATCACTAACAAAAGTGAAAACTGACTTGAAAAATATTTTATTATTAAAAATTCACTTTAGCAAAACATTTAAGCGCTGACTATATTGTTTCAAGGTATACAAAAATCAAAGGAGTTCCCTCAAGAGCATCTACCTCTCAGCAAAAAATACAACAGAATGAACAATGAGTAGCATGAAAGAAAGAAACAACAAAATGTTCACATTATAATGATGTATTTGCCATATTGGTAGAAAGCATTTCCTTCCTCAATTCAAGTTTTAAGAAGTACATATAGTTTTGCATATGACTAGTAATTTATTGAAGATTTTATACAAATGTTTCAACAAAGGATATGCACAAAAGTTAAAATCAGTTCACTTTCATTTTTTCAGATAAGATTTTTCATTTTAAGTGCCTAAATTATACTTCATATCTTTTCACTTAGGACATACACTGGTCTTTTAGTTCAACATTTGAAAACTGTAGAGAAATTTTTGGGTCAAGACAGGTCAACTTTTGCCTATCAAGTGAAAAGGAAAGAGAAAAATAAACGGAAAAGCTATATGAAAAAATAGTTTTCCAGAATTAGATAATAGTAATTGTTTGCACAACTGTTAATATGTTAAAAGCCACTCCATCATATGCTTTTATGCCCATCTGACAAATACTTTACTCTGAAATAATTTCAAATTTAGAGACAAGTTGTAAGAACAGTACACAAAATGTTCATATTCTTTACCCATATTCCCTAAATGTTAACATTTTATGACACTCTCCCCATTCTCATATATATGACTCATTTTCTGAACCACCAATAACCAAGTTGGAAATATGATACATACTTTAACAGGGTAAACTTTATGATATGTAAGTTACATCTCAATAAAACTATTGTTTAAAAATTTTAACAATATTACTTTTGATAACTTTATCTTACCACTTTGAACATACCAGGAAGACCACCTGAACATGTATAATTCTAAGAAAAACATGAAAATACACTAGAATTTTATTACAGGATGGCAACTGCATTAATACTACAACCTGAAGTAGACCTACTGAAAATTCATCAACTGCATGTATTAACATATGAAGCTTAAAGCATGAACAATTTTAAATTAATAAACTATCCCTCACAAAAATATGAATTTTTCTAACTTTAAAAAAATATTCTGGATGCAATCTAACGTGAAGATCAAAATCTTCACATGAACATTCAGTAATTTATATATGGAATTTGTAATTCATTCAAATTTTGCAGGAAATGGCACTAGGAAAATATTCTTTGGTTCTTTTTTGGTGAAATTTAAGATAAAAAGGGAGAAACAAATTCTTCCACTACTGAAAAAGCAGATTAAAAACAGAAGTCAGACTGAACACCCAATATTCCTTATGCTGTTGAAACAAATTAGGTTAATTCTCAAATCATATAAATGTTTTGACATGTTTTACCTATGAACTGTGCAAAATTTCTAGCAATTCAATATAATACCAGGAAGGACATAGGATACAACATTATTACAAATTATTCAATACTATAAATGATTATGATCATTATAGTTCCAATTACCATTGACTCCACCTAAGATAAAAATGTATTTTAAAGCCAGTGTGGCAGTATACACCTGTAATCCCAGCCTCTCAGGAATCCAGGCAGGAAGATGGCAAGTTTGAGACTGCCTGTGCAGCTTGGCAAGACCCCATCTCAAAATTTAATAACGAAAGGGTTGGGGATACAGCTCAGTGTCAAAATACATGCAGAGCATAGGTAAAGCCCTAGGTTCAATCCTCAGTACTAATAAATGTTTATTTATTTAAGGTAATGCATAATAGCTTGAAATTTAAAAATACACAAACACACAGAAAGGTATCTATATATTCTATAGCTGAAGCACTCTGATTTGGGAAACATTCCCTACCTTTTCAGCACCTTGGTAACTAGGTATCTTTGTGTCCTCCTCCCAGAAAAAGACACTGATGACTGGCATATAGTTTTGTGGAAGTTTTGTTTTTGTACTTTTTTTTTGGAGGGCGGGTCTTTTTTGAGACAGGGTCTTGCTATGGAGTTCAGGCTGGCCTTGAGCTCACTTTGTAGCCCAGGCTGGTCTCGAACTCTCAACGATCCTCCTGCCTCAGTCTCCCGAGTGCTGGGATTACTTGTATGCCACCACACCCAGCCCTTTTTTTTTTTTTTTGGAGACAAGAGCTTGCCAAGTAGTTCAGACTGGCCTTGAACTTACTATGTAGTCCAGGTTGGCCCTGAACTCACAGTAATCCACCTACATCAGCCTTCCAGGTGCTGGGATTACAGGCATATGCTACCACACCTGGCTTGTTTTTGTTTTTTTCCTGTGCTCAGGATTTTTTTTAATGGTAGCAAATATTTATATTTACTGAAGGTAGGAAAAGAAATATTCTCTGCAGAGTGAGTTTGGGCCAAATAAAAGTAGGGGCAAAAGTACAAGGGGGGGGGCTATTGTGAAGGGACACAACAGCCCTGTGACGGGGACTGAACCAGGGTAAGTGCAGGCCGGGCAGGCGTTTTACCACTGAAATACTGCCCAGGCCTGGTGAACAATTTTAATAAAAGTTTATTTACTACCCAGAAAACAGTGGCAGACTGCTGGTGAGGATATCTATTCTATAATTTCCATCAGTTTTACTTTATCAAAATCTGTACAAATGATTTCAAGTAACTACCCAACTTAAAAAGTTTTTAAAACTTTCACTTAAAGATTAATTGGCTTGACCACTTCATTTTATTCCCCAAATCGTCACACTGGCGTGGTGCTGTAGACGGCGGCCTGCTGTCCACCTTCCGGCGAGCAATGCCTAGTTAAATGTCTTCTGAAGACCGCCACAGGAACCCATCTGTCCGCTTCATGACTCACAACTTGAATCACTGGAAATGCATCTAACCCATCACAGAGGCTTCTGCAAAGAGAATCTGCTCGGTCTCCCAGGCGCAGTCCAGAAGCCAGATATCCTCTTCCCCTTACCCCACGTTTTACAAACCACTAATACTCCATGTCAAAAAAGAATGAATGGAAACTCTTCTGGTTAGCTATATAAATAAGTCACGTAGTCTGCTGAAAAGAACTTGCAATTTACTGTCAGCTCCTATTCTTTTTTTTGAGGCAGGGTCTCACTATGTAGTTTAGCCAAGCCTTGAACTCATTATGTGAGGCTGGTCTCCAACTCACGGCAACCCTCTTGCTTCAGCCTCCTGACTGCTGGGATTACAGATGTGCACCACTACACCCAGCCTTTGTCAGCTCTTATTCTTAAGTTTCTTTTTAAGGTGGAAGTTTCTCATACATAAAGATTTAGTTGCATGAGGCTCGTTGGCCCGAAGAAGCAAAGAAGAAAGGACACACAATCTTAAGAAGCCAGAAACTGTTAAGTAAAAATGACAGAAAAATAAAAAACACCTGAAGTTCTTAGACAGTGGGATAACTACAATACATCCAGCACTTTATTAGGTTATACAACATATGAAAAAGAAACAGAGGCATCAACCCTACAGAACAGAACAGGAGTGAGGAAGAGAGAACAGAGAGAAAGAGGTGGGGGTGGGGCAAACGAGAAGGAAGTACGTGGAAAGGAAAAGAGAGGACCAGAGAAGAACGGGATACATTTTTGAACTGCAAGTAAGACCAAAGGAAAAAATCTCATGACTCTGATTTGTTATTCTGAGGTTTCATTAGTTAAACTGGCAGGCATTAACCGCAAGAAGTAGGCAGTCAGTACAGTACAAAGAGCACCGAGGTGACAGAAAAGCCAGCACTTATCGATCCTCCACCAAGCAGCAGACACAGTCTTACATATTCTGTTTAAACTTCCTAACAGTTTTGGACATACAGCATATAATCATCTTACAAAGGAGAAAATATGAACATTTAAAAACCTGCCCACTAACAAGTCTAAAGACAGATTTTGAAACCAATGTATGAAACCAATGTATTTTGAAACCAATGCTCACCATCCCTCCAAAACAGACACTAATACTACAAATTAGTGTCAATTTTGTTACTTATTAGTGGTGGATGAATTACTGATCTTGAACACTATTCTATGCCTCTGTCCCCAAGACTGTTTTAGTGTAGCATTCATTTTAAACCATTATTTCACTAGCCATGAAATCACCAACTATAAAAAAAAAGAAACAAATGCACCCAGGGCAAATTTCTCGACAAATCATTTAAAGGTAATGTTTCATTTCCCCACTGCCCTGACAAACAGCTGAGACTGAGTATGTCAAAAAGCAAACACACATGGCCACCCACACACGCACACATACACCCAAGTACTCCGTTAGTTCCTTAAAAATCAGGCGAGAAGAAAGCACAAGAATAAAGGAACTGTGTGAGCAAAGGAAACACCTTTGTTTTTCTCTAAGTAAAAAAGTATTCTTAGCTTCCTAATACAACTTCTAAGCAGCATTTTCTTGCGATCAGTAAATACTGTGTCACTGGGTCCCGTATTTAATGTCATTGCCATATTCTTGGAAATTCCAACCTTTTACAGATCTTGTTCCTACTTTGGGACCCTAGTAACAGCTAAAAGGATCCATGAAAATAAAGACCAGTTGGTCTGCCTACTCAAGGCAAAGTGGACCAGGGGACTGAACAAGTTCTGGCAGACATCAACAATGGCAACCCAGAGCCAGGGGCTGTACTTAGAGGCCTTAAGTGTGTGGGGTTCAGGCAGAGGCCTTTGGTTTCTGTGACAGACTGGTATAGCAATGGCCTCCCCTAAATGATGCCGCCTGTTATCTCAAAATAGTCCCCAGCACTGATGCTGAGACTGGCTATGTGACTTGCTTTAACTGCCAATGGGACATCAGCAAAGGTAATGGAAGCACACATTTAATAAATACTTGTGCACTGTTACTTGTCCTTTCAGAAGCCAGAGACCAAGTGGCAAATAAGAACTAGCTAACGGCCCCAACGCCACACTACCCAGCCCTGATCAGCTTCCCAGATAACTCATCAGCGAATGCAGGTATCACTTAATACTGATGGCTTTCAAATCTACTCTCCAGTTCTTCTTTTCTCTAAACTTCCGATCTGTATTTGTAGCCATCAACTCATACATCTACTAGGAGATTCCCCCCAATACAACTATAACTTGTTTGTAACCAAAGTCTCTCCTGCTCTTTTCACTCCTCACAGAACTGACTGATCCCCACGTTCCCCGTCTCAGTTACTGGCACCCATAGAACCAACAACACTGGTTCTTGCTGTTCTGCTTTAATGGGGATTAGATCCAGGCCTGATGCATGCTAGAGGCAAGTACTCAACCCCTGAGCTACATCCTCACCCATATATGTAATTTTTTTTTTTTTCTGAGACAAGGTCTCACTAAATGGGCCAGGATTGTCCTGAACTTTAGCTCCTCTTGTCTCAGTCCCCCTAGTGGGTGAGTTACAGGCCTGCGTCACTGCACCTAGCTAACATTTATATCTACCACCTACACATCTCCTTTGCTCCCTTGGTCCCCAAGTCCCATGTGAAAACCTCTGGGGTAAATTCGCTCATCCTCATTTCCACTGCTGCGGCCCTTTTCATCTCATTTGTTAGTAGCCTCCTTACTGGTCTCCACACTCTAATCTCTGTAAAGCAACAACCCGCTACTGCCTACAACTTCCAAACTATAAATTCAATATATATCGATGACATTAAGTGTAATATATGGTATATGTATACATATTATACATAGTGACATACAGTTAAAAGTTTCAAAATCATTGTCTACAGGATAAAGTTCAAACTCCTTGGCTTTTGAAATTGGGTATGTTTTTAAGGGTGCACTACAGGTTAGCCCCAATTTATATTCCCAGCTTCACCTTCTATCACCTCTTCCTAAGTAGTTTATATACTTTATAAAAATACACCACAAACCAGATTCACTTTTTCCCATTTCTGCCAATTCCTCTCACCTTGTAACTCTTCCTCCTTTCAACGCAGGAAGTCTCTGTTAATCTGCCAGTTATTCTCCCTTTTCTTATTCTACCTTTTGTGCTCATGTTTTCTGTTCATGCCTTTAGCACAGACTTTACTACAAAAAGTTGTGCATCCTTGACCAAGACCTCTGGAATGCTCTTGTGGTGGACTGACAACTGGTGGTCAACTTGTAACACCCAGCTGAACTGAATCAACATGGTGCTGGATGTAGACGGCCCACCTGAGGATTGTTGCCAACAAAATAAACAGAACTGGAGAAGAAGAGGTGCTGTTAGGGAGCTGTTGGTTCTCTTGGAGGAGCTTGTCATGCTGGCTTTTCTGATATGAACTCAGCTGTTCTCATTGTCAAAGGAGCTCAGGACCTCATCACTGAGAATGGCTGCGGTTCACTTTCGGGGAGCTCTGGTCCTTACTTTGAGCGTTGCTGCCTGGCTCCGGAGGGGAAGATGGTGCACTGTTCAGGCTCCTGGAGAAACTTGATGCACTGGCTTTCCTGATTGGAACGCAGCTGTTCTCATTGTCAGAGGAGCTCCGGACCTCACTGTTGCTGAGGATGGCTGTGGTACTTCCAGGGGGCGCTCTGGTCCTTACTTTGAGTGTTGCTTTCTGGTTCTAGTGCAGACCCCTCAGCCTGCTGGCACAGATCCTCCATCCCACTGGCACAGACTTTCTAGTTTAGGCCACTGACCTTTGGGCCTTCCCAGTGCAAACCCAGGAAACAGGCTTTCATGCGGCATTGTCATGGGCTCTAGGTCTTCAGCTAGACTCATGCAGGACATTGCCATGGGATCCAGGCCCTCAGCTGAATTCTTGGGGTCTTTAGTGTACGGACAGATTTCCTGCACTCTTTGTACTTGACTCTTTGGGTGACTACTACAGAATCCTATTATAAATACTTCTGATCCCAAGCATTTTAGAAAGTTATACTTGACTTGTATACTACAAGTCTGCCCTTCTGATATTCTGGAGGCAGTTTGAGTCTTACTCATCTTAAAAGTCCGATCCTTTGTGCATCCCACCCAAGTTATCTCACAATGTTTAATAGAACTGAGGATGGTGCCTAACAAAAGAGACCATGCAAAAATTTGTGCAGAAGGATATTTGTTCATTGCAAGACCATTTAAGTACTTAAAATTTGGAAACATAAATGTTACCAATACATTTTAATACAAACAATTTTACACAGCAAATATGTTTGTAAAATATTAATGATACATGGGAAAGATCACTGTATGGTGTTAAGTAAAAAAAATCTTCAATAGCCACATAGTAATATAAATGTAATGATATGAATGTATGAAATATATAATGGGAAGAAATATCCCAAATGATCAGCGGCAGTTATTCTTAGGCAGTCACTATGAGCTATTAAGAACATGTTAACAGTTTTACAATAAAAAAGGTTTTTGGGTACTGGGAATTGAACTCAGGGCCTCCCACTGTCAGGAGCAGGGGCCCAGTCAGAAGAGGTGAATCACCGGGGGCATGGCTTTGGAAGGCATATCTCAGCCTGGCTCATGCCTTCTGCTTTCCGGTTCCACGAAGTGAGCAGCTCTGCTCTGCCATGCCTTCCCTCCAGGATATTTCTGTCCTGGAGTCCATCAACCATGGACCAAAACCTCTGAAACCAGAGCCAAATAAATCTCTGCTCCTTTCAATTGCCATTATCAGGTATTTTGTCCTGACACCAGAAAAAATGAGTAGTATAGCATTTACAGAAAGAATCTAGATAGTAAGCGATGAACTAACAAGCGAACATGAGTACTAAAGAATAATCCAGTAATATGGAAACTATGTAACTAGGGGACCAGCAAAGGCCTCCCTAAGGAAGTGTCACATAAGCCAAACATAACAAAAATCAAATTTACAAAGGAACACTAAGTTCACCGGCAAGAAAAGGATCAGAAGAAAAGGATTAGAAATGCTGCGTATCCACCAGTCTATAGTTTTAACACTTCAGAGAAAGAATGTTTTAGTTAAAAATAATTTGACTAATACCTACCTATACGAAGGTCTCTTTGTAAAACATTCTTATCATAAACATAGAAAGACAAATACTGGAAAGTCCTTGGAATTTCAAAGTAAAATTCTTCACTAAAAAATGGGCTGGAGAGAAAACAGGAGAAAGTTTGTTACTCCAAATAGTATCAGATAATTAAAAGATCATGATCTATCACTATAACCAATAATAACAGAACTATTAATACTAAATATTACCTTCAAATTTCACTTTCAATGAAATAATAGGCTAAAACTCCAAAGAAGGAACTTAAGAACCCCAAAATAATTCGCAATACTAAGTTTCAGCTAAATCCCACATAAACCAAATTGAACTCAATTTCAATATACAACACTGTACCTCTCTAGAAAGCTCCCTTATGCCTCTCTGCAGTTACCGTACCACACCTGCCACAGGCAAACACTAGTCTAACTTCTATTGCTACAAATCTCTATAATTTCATGTACATGAAATCATGTATGTACTTTTGTACCCTGCTTCTTTTACTCGGTTTCAGTGAGATTTTTCACGTTACTGCACATATAGCAGTTCATTTGTTTTAACTGCTGTGAAATATCCCATTGTATTCCACAACTCAATCTCCTAGTGATGTCATCTGAACTGTTTCTAGTTTGGGCTATTAAAAATAAAGCTGCTGGCTGGGCATGGTGGTGCACACCTGTAATCCCAGTACTCAGAAGGCCAAGGCAGAAAGATCTCTGTGATTTGAGGCCAGATAGTGAGTGCTGGGCTACATAGTGAGTTCAAGGCCAGGCTGAACTACATAGCAGGACTCTGTTTCAAAAACAAATAAATAAAAAATAAAGTTGCTATGAACATTTTTATAAAACCCTTGTTCTGGACATACGCTTTCAATTAAACTGAGAGAATTCCTGAGTTAAAGTGTAGGTGAATGTTTAACCTATAAAAAACTCCAATTGTTCTCCAAAGTGTCAAAAGTACTTCTCTGCAGAGAATATTTAATTTAAATAACAAAGATTCTTTATCACCATGAGGTACAATACTATTAGGCTGTCATAACTACATAAATGAAAGGCTTGAAATGGTTGACTCAGCTTTTTAGTTGTAATAAAGGTTAGCAAACTGTCATACTCCATTTGTCACTTCAAATGCAATCAAAATAAACTTTTAAAAGCTGGTCTGTCAAAGTAACTAGAGTCCTCTAACTAGTGTCATCACAGAAATCAATGCAAAAGTAACTATTAGGCAAAGATGAGATATGGAGATATTTCTCTCTCTTGTATTATTTTATATACAATTATAAAATGGAGAATTTCCTTTATATATCACATATCCACATGCAAAAATTATTTCAAAGCACATTTTAACATCAAATAACAACCTGAGATATACTGCTTTATCCCTATAGCATCACAACCTCCACATCTGATTGCTTACATCTTTATCTCATAAATAAATGTTAATGCACTTGAAAACTTTTTAATAAGGCTGGCACAGAGCTATGACTAAATAGTTTTTAAAGCAATACCACACTGCTATCATTGTCCTGTGATCATGCTACCCATGAAAGAGAAGCACCAGGTATGTGTAGGGTTGCTGTTGCAGTTTGTTTATATTGTACCTACTTCCTAAAGGGACTTGAGGAAGAGGTTTAAAAGCTAAACTTTTTACTTCAAATCTATTTGGAGGGCCGGGGATATAGCTCACTGGCACAAGTGCCTGCCTGGCACGTGCAAGGTCCTGTGTTCAATTCCCGGTACCAAAAAAATCAAATCTACTTGGGCTACTTAAGCTTCTTTAGCTTTATGTAATTCTTATCTTATGAAGAATTCAATAGATATTCAAATTATAAAATCTGAAAATAAAGACATAAAAGAATACTTCACAGAGAGAAAAAAGGCAAGTACAAAGAAAAAAGATATGACAAAAAGCATCACAGTCCTACTTCTATATAGAAGCAATAATACCTACCAGTACAACCCATAAGTGAGCTACGATTTTTGGCTTAACAACTTATTATGATATCCATAAGCCCTGCGACTACTAAAATGAAAACAAGACAGAAAAAGAAAAGATGGGTAAACAAAACTGGTTTCTTCATTTTCTCTTAATAAATATTCAGAAAGGCAAAGGTACACAGAGGGAAAAAAAAGTGGGCTAGTTTTACTTACTCATTTATAAGACTACATACTAGAAACTACCACAAAAACCCACTTTATGGACATACTATTTTTTGTATATTACTGATTACCATGTGATATGAAGTCAGCATACATTAAAGTAACACACAGATTTAAACAGTTTCAGGTCCCTAATCTCAGTTTTGCTTCTAACATCCTTTGTTACATGATGAATTACTCAGCCTTTGGGTGACTCAAATTTCATGTTTTATAAATACCAAAAATTCATAAATAAAAAGAATAACAAAATTCTAACAGAACAGGGAGAGCTGACTTACAACTAAAGATTTGAGGTATATTACTCAACTCTCCCAGGGGTAAGTATTTTCAGTTTTATATATTAGGTCCTTTCCAATGAAGAACTCAATAATATGCAAAATTAGAAAACCTGAAAATAAAGACACAAAGGGAAACTTCAGAAGAAAAAAAAGAGAAAGAAGATATGGAAAAATTATCAAAAACATATCCCGGAAATACAACTGGTCTGAAAAACGATTCCCATTAAGTCATGGCACATACTACTTTATACATCACATGCTTATTTCAACAGCTCTCTAGACCCTTGCTTTGACTCTTGTCTCTGACTGAAACTATCCTTTTAGCGCAGCTCTGCACCAGAATTATGACCACAAACTCTGCTACACGACACATTCTAATTTATAAATTAGAATTTACTATGCTACTATCAAAGCACAACTACACTTCCAAAGATGAGAAATCTACCTAAGAGTTCACTGCCTGATATACTGCACTAAATTAAGTAACTTGCACAAGCTATTAAGAATTTATTCTCGGAGAAATAAAATAATGATACACTTTGAGGAAAGTTCAAACAGGCAAAATTTAGCCTAGAGAAAAGACTGAGATAGATGATGGTTGTTTTGAAAAACTTGAAAGTGTCATGTGAAAGCTGGATTAAATTTCTCTCCCAGAAATCCAATTAAAAGAAAGATACATTCTGAGGCAATGAAAAGCCACATGAAAGCAAGCACTATCTTGTTCTCATGCATATATGAATAAGTAGAACCCAGTAAGTTCTTGGCATGTAGTAGTTTCTCATTTTTAATAATCATTAACCAACTCTACATAAAAGCTTTCTAGGAGTTAGAATAGTTCAAAGACCAAACAGGCTACTAAGGAGGCCTGAATTCTTTGGGTAGTGGAACATTACTAAGCAAATGTTGTATGATCTCTTGTCAAAGCTACATTAATGAAGAAGCCAAGCATAAGGTGCTGAACAAGGCTCTGTGAAACTCTCAAGATTCTGTAATTCTAAAAATAAATTCATCTGTAGAAGAAAACTTTCAAGTGTAAATATAAAAGTTTCAAATGAAGAAAGTCTTGATGATAACACTCTGGAAAATGCATAAAACTAATCAATGTAGGACATAAATGATAATCCAATTTTTCTACCAACCTTAAAGATTTTTCAACAACTTGGGTACGATAAACTTCTTCCTGGTCCAAGTTTATAGTACAGAAACAATCTCTCATTTTGTTGGGTCCAAGATATGGCAATAAATTTTTCGCTTCACCTGTTGACACAAAAATTAAAATTGGTGTTAAATACCACCAACAGTTTCATGCTAAGCCTTACTCATACAAAGAATTCAATCTGAGAGAACATACTACATGCAGCACAGAAAACCAACTAGTGATAAGGAAATATCAACTTGGCCCATGGGAGACCTGTAAAACTGAAGGGAAGGGAGGAACTGTGTTGTAGAGGGACACGTGAGATCGTACTGCCATCGTTGCAACACCCCCTTACTTGTGCTCCCCATCTCAATCCAACAGCACCACCAGGGCGACTAGGACTTTATTCCACAATTAATCACTCTTTCCTGAATCAATTATTAATTTTTCCTTTCTCCTGGATTGTTCCCATCAGCACATAAACAACTATGGATGTTTTCCAATTTAAAAAGAACAAACAAAAAGAAAAATCTCTCCCTTGACTCCACCACTTCTCTCTGGATGCCCCTCCATGTCTAGATTCCCTTCTCAAAAACTCATCATTTCTTGTCATTACCTCTACGTTCTCAATTTCCATTCATTTTTTTGACCCTCATCCATCAGCGTCAGATCCCACTATGACATAGGAACTATCCCAGCCAAGGTCACATTGTGACCTTGGCAATATGCCTTCCATATTGCCAAATCCAAGTTATCTTTCTCTCATCGTAACTAACCATGCAGCACCACTTCACACAAGAGAATATTAACATCCTTCTTTAAAATGTTCTTTTGGCTTCCACAATACAATATTTCTGGCTTTCTTTCTACATCATTGGTCCTCTACTCTCCCCCTTCTCTTCTACAAATGTTTTAATTGTCTCAAGATTTAGTTTGGGCCCACTTTCTCTTCTTTTTCTAAGCAAATTTCTGCAGTATCAGGTGTTAGTGTGGATGTCTCCCAGCTCTGCCTCTCCAATGAAGGGAAGAGCACTACCCTAAGAAATCATGACACCAACGCTTCTGTCTTCCCTCTCCTCCTAAGCATCTGTACAACTTCAGCAAATTCTGAATTACAGTTTTCTTAGGGAAGTATGAGCTAGACACTCTAAGCTAAAATGTACCAATTTTAAAACTAAAGGCCATTAAAACTAGTATTTGTTAAAGTTTATCAGAAACTTAAGCATCTATAAACAAACTCATCAAACAGATACTTTTTAAAAATTAAGAACACAATGGAAAGGCATCAACTAGTAAGGTACTAGTTGTTCTTAAACTTGTCATTGAGAGATTAGAAAAAAATCAAACTACCACATGACTAAACAAACTAATGTTCATCTCAAATCAGAATCAAGGACTTTAACCTTAGAAATGACTCAAAATTACCTAAAATGGACTTGATCCTTACAAATGAATGAGTTTCCTAACAGAAAAAATAATTATATCTAAATTGTACCTACTCATCACCTCTCCAAAGACAAGCAATGCCCCCTCTTCTTATCCAAAGCTCACCCTTCCTCTGTGCTCTCTACCCAGGCCTCTCACTCCCTTCAGGGCCCTGTCCAGCAATTTCTACTTCCACAGCATCTAAACAACTCCTTCAGCCTCTCACGGCTGTCTCCCCTCTGTATAATTCATGTTTTGTTTTGTTTTGTTTTCTTTTAAAACAACAGTCCACCTAGACCATCTAATGGGCCCAAGAATATATATGAACTTGGAATTCAATTGTGATAAATATGATTTATATATAATGCAAGAACCTGAACACTAAATCACTGCCCCTGAATATGGTTCTGTTTCACTCATAAACTACACTTTGAAAAAAAATACAAATAGGAAAGAGAGAGAGGAATGTTGTTGTAATTCAGCATGGACAGTGTATCTAAAGGTGTACCTTGATTTAATATAACTGTATTGAGTGGGTTTTGGCCTGTCAGTCTGGCTGTTAATCTGTATTTATAGTTAACTTGGGAAGGACTTATAAAATAAATGAATCTGATGCTAGCAAAAAATTAATAAAAAGGGGTGGAGGGGAAGGAGAAAAAGAATTTAAAAAGACTTCACACTGTGCCTCCAAACTATCAGTGAATAATTGGCACTTTATAAACAACTTCCTCTTCACTTGTACAGGGGCTCACAGCTCAGAGTTTGCCTTACATCTCAGAGCAGACTGGGGACTTGGACTTCTCAGCAAAGCTGAAACCCTTAGGACTCTGGCAACTCTTGCAGATGGACTAAATGCCTTTTACATAAAGAATGTACATGAGTCTTTTGGGGGCCAGGGGCAGAATGTTATGGTGTGTGTCTAGATATCCCCCCAAAGCCTCATGTAGTCATAGGTGGGGCTTTTTCAAAGGTGGCTGAATCTAGAGGGTGTGACTGCTTCATGGTGCAGTGCTAGGATTAAGGGTGGGTGATTACTAAATCAGTCTGATTGGATTGGCACCACCCTAATCCCAGTAGACTGGATACAATATAAGGGACAGAAAAAGGCTTGTCTTCACCTTACTGTTTTGCTACAGTTGGCCCGCCATGAACTGTTTTCCTCTGTCAGAGTACTATGCCTTGGAATCAGCCAACAACTATAGACTGAAACTACCACAAACTGTGAGCTAAATAAACCTTTCTTCCCTTAACTCTGGGTATCAGGTATTTTGTCTCAGCAATGGAAAAAGTAACAACTTCCTTCCATCTACAGTCTGTTACTGTTGTTCTTTTGTTCTTTCCAACAATTCTACAAACCTCTTAAAAGTCTTCTATAAATCTCTTTCTGCTGAACTAGCTCAAGTAATCCCACTTTACTAGTCATCAGCTAGATGTAGCTAACTAGATCAAACATGAACTCAAATTGTGAAACCATTTCTCAATGAAAACAATTTTATATAAGTTTAGCAGCACATCACATTCAAAAAGCGAGTACTTCAACTTGAGAAATGGAGATAAACAGATCTTAAATCTATGTATGCTTGCATCTGTCTTTGGAAATGATTTCACAGTCTTCTGCCATAGTTATAGTTCTTACAATATGTTCAATAATACAACATGCTTCCACAAATACAGGAGCACCAAATCCAAAACATTCAAACTATGTGCAACACTTCAGCCTCCCCATCTTACCCTTAAATTTAAAAATCATATTTGTTCCTAAAATAATAGGATTTAGATATTCAATACATTATCTATATGGCTGACAGAAGATACTTGAGCGAGCCACTCGAAAGAACGGAAATAGCTTTTACTTGCATTTGAATGGAAGAAAAAATTTTTTTCCAAACAGGGTCTCATTGTGTTGCCCAGTCTGGTCTTGAACTCGTGGACTCAAGCATTTTCCTGCCTCAGTCTTCTGAGTACTGGGGCTACAGACATGTGCCACCAACTGGAAGAAATGTTTTGATAGTCCATCCTTCACTTAAAAAATTCTGTGCCTGCCAGGGTACTGTAATATACAAAGGCAGATATACTGGCCCTACAGAAAAAGGTGCAGATTTGATTATAATTATTTTCAAAATGTTTGTTAGTACATGTTTTCAGTACACAATGTTTACATTCCTTGTGTGGAGTTGGTACAGGTACACAGCACATCTCAATTCCTTTTTTCACCCCCTTCCTTTCCCTTCCCCACTCCATCTCTTTATCTCATTTGACAAAGCTCTATCTCCTACTTCCTATTATCTATTTTTTATTTTGCTCTTCATTTATAATTTGGGTTTCTCATTTAAGAGAAACCATGTGACATTTAAGCTTATGTGTCTGATATATTTCATTTAAAATTATGGTGTCAAGGTGCGTTCATTTTCCTACAAATGACTTAAGTTATGACTGTCATTATTTCAAGAATGAATCAAGATTAGGAAGCAAATCACTGACAATCAACTGTTCCTCACTGAAGAAAGAAGGCCGGCACTCAAGCATAACTTCTTCTACCCTGTAACAGCTTTTCTTGTTGAATCCATAGCCTGTACCCCTTACGCAGTTTACATTATGACTTAAAATGTCACTGTTAACTAAATTTCCCTCCCGCCCCCTCTCCTCCTCCCTCCCCCCCCATCTCCTTACCCAACCTCTCCCTCCCTCCCCCCTCCTCGGATTTTTTGAGGCAGGCTCTATGTAGTTCAGGATGACCTTGAACTCACTATGTACCCCAGGCCAGCCTCAAACTCAAGACAATCCTCCAGTCTCAGCTTTCTAAGTCCTGAGATCACAGGTGTGCACCACCAGGCCCAACCTCAATTTCCTTCTAAAAGCCCCCTTTCCTAAAGCATGTATTTTCAAAGATGAGCAGAACAATTATCCATCAGTCATTTCTTCTTTTACAAACATATTGAAAGGTATGTCAAGAATACATTCACTTTATATATTAATGGTTTTGTCCAAGCACAGAACGAAATACCCTCTTGCTCATATATGAGTAACTGTTTTTCTTCCTTATATGTTCCCATAACATCATTAATATCCTAAATGAAACGCTGTTTACCTGTGATCCTCATCCTTCACATTGCTACCTACGCAGACACACCCCACACAAAAATATGAATATATATACATATGTCTCTGTATCATCCCTCGCTCAACAATTTCACACTACCTACTATTGCCCACTTTGCAGGACAAAATATATAATTCTGTAGTCTGATGTGACAGTCCTCCACAATCAAGCAGACTGGGCTCATCCATTTAACCTTTACTCCCAAAAGTTATGTTCCATTAATAGTATATATTGAGCTGGGCATGGTGGCGCACGCCTATAATCCCAGCACTCAGGAGGCTGAGGCAAAGGTTTGTTCCAAGTTTGAGGCCAGTCTGGGCTACAAAGTGAGCTCAAGTTCAGCCTGAACTGCATAGCAAGACCTTGTCTCAAAAAGACAAAAAAAAAAAAAAAAGTATATATTGGTTCCTTAAACACAGTGTGTTCCCTCATGCCTCTGCACATCTACAACAGTGTGCCTGTGTATGTGTGTGTGTGTGTGTGTGTTGGGGGGGGTGTTTGAGATGGAGGTCTCACTATTTTTCCCTGATAAGTATCGAACTCCAGTGATCCTCCTGCCTCAGCCTCCTAAGTAGCTGGGACCACAGGCACAAGCCACTGTGCAGCATCCTTCCTCTGTTTTTTTCCTCTAAAAGGCTCTGCTGAAGGCATCTCTGTAAAGAAGTTTTCCCTCAACTCCTAGGTAATCCTGTCACTCCTCCCCTTTGTTCCTCCTGCATCTTATCCATACTCCTGCGATTGTAATCACGTTGCATGGCACTGCTCCACTTCACTCCAAGCACTTATTAAATGTCCACAATGTGCCAGACACTGCTCTAATGTCAGCATTAGCACTGAATGAAAACAGGTCTGGAGCTCCTGTACAACCTAACAGGGAGACAAATGCCACAAATCCTTATTTATTACCACGGAAGAAAGAGTTATTGCCACGGAAGAAAGAGTTATTGCCATGGAAGCAAACAAAGGAAGGTAAGAGAGTAAAGGAGTGGCAGAACCAGAGGATACAGGGAGGAAAACAGAGCTACTTTACACCAGGAAAGGTCTGTTCAGATCCTTACGTAGTAACCTGAAGGGAGGGACAAAGCCTGGGTAAAGAGATGGACAGGAAAAAAGCCCTGAGACAGAAGAGTTTGGTACGATGAAGGGGTATCACGCAGGTCAGTGTGGCTGTACAGCAATAGGCAAAGTCTGAGAGGAAGAAAATGACAGATTGGGTGGGAAGGGGGGAAGAGGCAAGCTAAATAGCGTCAGGTCACACAGGCCACTGCGAAGTGTTAGGCTCTTCTGTATGAGACGGTAAGCTATGGAAAGATTCTGAGCCTAAGAGTTTCACGATCTAATTTTCATTTTAGAAGAATTGCTGCAGTGCTTGCTTCGGCAGCACATATACTAGAACAATTACTGCAGAAGGGACTATAATAATGTGGGTTAAAGATAATTTGAATGGGGGGGGTCACTGGCATGGACAATGGCCATATATTTTGAAGACAGAGCTAACAGGGTTATTTTGCATATAGGATAGAAGAGAAAGAGGGCAAGAGTAACTTCTAAGAGTTCTGACCTAAGCAGCTGAGTGAACAGAGATATTTCCAGAGAAAGGAGCTTCTTGAAGAAGGCAACCAGGCACCGTGATTGACGTCCATAATCCCAGGTACTCAGGAGGCTGAGATAAGAGGATACCAAGTTTGAGGTCAGCCTGGGCAACTTAGTAAGATCCTGTCTCAAACTAAAACCTAAAAGGAGCCTTGACTATAGTTCAATGGTAGAGATGGTGATAACAACAATAATAGTAGTAATAGAGAATCAAGTCTGAGGTGCCCATTAGACATCCAAGTGCAGATGCCAAGAGGACAAAGGCTACTGGCTGGAGAGAAAACTTGAGAATCATTAACAAGTATAAAATATTTACAAAAAAACTATCAGACTATAAAAGATAACAAGGAGAGTAAATATGGACCAAAAAGAAATGTAAAGACTGAGCCTTAGGGCTAACATTTTGAGGCAACAAGGCTGAGATGACAGCAAGCAAGGGAGATGTGGATGTCTCCTCACTAAATTGTACACTTGAGGGAAGGGATTAATCCTTAAGACCACCCTTAGCATATAATACATAATGAAGCACCTACTGAAAAAGTATGAATGTGTAAGTATGTAATAAGGCTTGGACAAAAAGAGGTTCTCACACATTTGTCAAATTATAAACCTACATGTAAAGTTACATTAGGTTGATCTGTATCAACTGCCCCAAGGTTATATATGAAGTTACCACAAGCACTAAATATAAGAATCTTTCTCTGCTAATATACAGATGCACTGAAAAGAACCAAACTAATGCCAAAACTCACACATTTTAATATTTTTGACTGCCAACTAAGATGCTAAGGATAAAACATAAACAAAAGAGTAAAAAATTTGTGTCCTCATTAGGCTAACAGACTGGTAATATATAGATACATAAGTAAAAATATGCACACATTAGTAATAAACACTAAGCAGGAATGGCCACTGTATAAAATGGCAGAGGCTAGGGCAGCCAAGGAATGCTTCACTGAGAAAATAATTTCTATACAAACACCTGAAGGCGAGGAGAAAAATAATTAGCAAAGTAGCTTTTTGCAACACTGTCAAAAAGTAAACAATTAAAAGCAAGAAAATAAACACTGGAATCAAAACTGATAAGATAAATTAACAGAAGTGGAAAGACAGCCAATTCTCTGTGTACAAGATCAATGATCTATGCAAAGGTTATCAAACAGTGAATCTACGTCCTACCACACAAATTTTACCTAGCATCAGAGCCCCAAATATCAGACTACTGTGCTCGCTTCGGCAGCACATATACCAAATATCAGACTACTAAGTAGAGATTTTGGCGTGTGTCCCCCTACACATGCATGCAAGTAGGCATATATGCATTTTTGTGCATGTTTGTGGGTGACTGTACATTTGTATCTTTAGTCTTTATGTGTGTATCTATATGTCCTTGGGGAGGACACTACCGTAATCAGAAAAGAAGATATTTATTAAGTACATAGATGCTCTAAGACTGTAAATACTTTCTCAAACATCTCATTTGATCTGTACAACAACCATATAAAGTAAGCACTACTGTTTCCATTTATAGGGGTGCCTTGGTTCACTAATATAATTTGTTCTACGATTTTGGAAAAGATGGCTACAGTTGTTTGTAACCAATGCAGAACTGCAAACTAAACAAAATTTTGCCAAATGCTTCTTTTGCAAACCACATTGCTAACAAAAGCACTTGTGAACCGAGATGATTTTTAAATCTTTTTAAAAATCACAATTACATATCTGGTAAGGTGATCTGATATAAGTCAAACTCCACAGCTTACGGTCTTTCTCTTCCACTGTCAAGGTTTTTCTGAATACTGCAGCACTGAGAACCCACTCCTGTCTGAAAGAGATCTGGTAAACCCACGCCTGCTTCACAGGATATCACTGAGTGTAACAGTAGAGGTCAACACAGATCCCAAAAGGATTAACCTTAAGGGAAACTACAAAGGGCCAAGGTCCTGGACAAGATGATCTTAAAATAAAAGAAGAAGCCAAACTATAGTAATTGCTAATTACAGAATAAATTAATGTATTATTAAATGTAACACATTTTTAGTAACTTCATATACATTATTTCATGTAATCTTGACAATAATTCTTCCAAGTGATATATGCATTTCCAAAATACAGACATTAGGAGAAGAAGGATAACACTGGAAGAGGAAGACTTAATGTTAGGAAGTTCTGGAGGTGGGAACAAGAGAATCACCTTCAA